ACCTGCAAAACCTAAAAATCGCGCATGGCAAATCTTTGTAGACAGCATGAAAGTCAAATTAAATATGATGATTAGCTTTAAAACACCATTATAAGCAAGAATCCATAGAAAAAAATGCAAAAGGATGATTAATTTATGCTATGCGAATTCAGAAATTTCAAGGTTCAGTCTGAGTTCTTGGTACCAATTCAAGGCCTTTTTGTTGATGTTAATGATTGAGGAGTATTCAGTGATGCTTCAGGATGATGATGAAACGAAAATTGAAGCTTCAATCGACCTCTAAGGTTGATTTCAGTGTTTGAGTTTTTTGTCAAAAATTTCAATATGCCAAAGGTGTCTTATGCGCAGCTTGCAGTCCTCTTGGCATTAGGTCTTATTCTAGTACTTGTAAGGAAGCAATTAGGTCAACAATTTCAACAAAAATCTCTTGCCATTATGAATTGAAGATTTGATTTTTTTCCATTATACTTTCAATCTCTTTCACATGGTTTTTGTGCAAATCATATCCAATTCAATCCAATTCTTCCTAATCAACATGTGCACGAAATATTGACCTTATAATGTGCATAAAAAGATTTTTTTAGGTTAGGTTTATATTTTTCATGTATTAAAATGATTTAAATGAATATAAATTAATATTAATTCAAATAAATAATTAAAAAATATGAAAATACTTCCCTTTGGGCCTAATGGTCGTGCATAGGCTTGGCATGAAGAAACTTGGAAGAAAATTGGGCCCATTTGCATTTTTAGGCCTTTTGCATCAATGTTGACTTTTCAAAATCCCTAAAAATTTCCCAACTTTCACAAGGCATAACTTGGTCAATTTTTAAGCTTTTCACATGTTCTTGGACATTTTGGAAAGGTCTTTGAGTCCTTTAACCAATGCCTTTGGTTCCATGTCATTTTGATTTACCAATCTCAAGTTATGGTCTTTGACTTAAAGTCACTTTTTGTTGACTTTTGAAAATGACCTATAATGTTGAAATTGATAACTTTTTGTGAGAGCATTTCTTGGACTTGAAGTATGAAGATGAGTTGTAGGAAATGTCTTTCTCTTCAAAATGAGCTTTGGATGGAATTTTTCTGATGATCCATGTGAAAGTTATGCCCTGGTCAATTTCAGTTGACTTTTTTTTTCAGCTGTCCAAATATAGCAACTTTTGCATCTTTGATGATTTCTGAGCCAAATTTTGAGAATCATGATCAAGCATTGATCAAATGATGTTTGTGGCTTCAAAATGATATATTGATCAAAAATTTGAACTTTTGACTGTCAAATGACCATTTTGCCCCTACAGTTGACTGTAGTGCAATCTAGGGTTTTGACTGTGCAATTTTGAGCTGAATGCCTTGAAACTTGACATGAGGATACTTGACCATCTTTGTAAGCATATGAGACTTGATTGGGCCTTTGAAAAGTTCATTTGTTTGACCAAAACTTAAACCCTAGTTTTGACTGTATAGGAGCCAGTTGAGCTGCACAACCCTGGGGGAATTTTGTGACCTTGATTTGGCAATTTCTTGATGAATATGGGAGGGCAAATTTTGGGGTACAACAGTGTCCAATAAAGAAGCTGAAGGAAATTGTTCCTTTAGAAAAATGGACTGGAGACAAGCAAAGTGTTAGCCATCTGAAGGTGTTTGGTTCTGTATGCTATAAACACGTTCCAGAGGCTAGAAGACAAAAACTGGATGATAGAAGCAAAACAATGTTACTGGTGGGGTACCACAGTACATGTGCCTATAAGCTTTATTGTCCAGAAACCAACAAAATTGAGATCAGCATAGACGTCATTGTGAAAGAGTCAGAAACATGGGATTGGAACAAGCTTCAATCAGATTCTGGTGTAGCGCCAACACCAGGGTTAGTTTCTGAAGATCCTTCAGAAAGTTCTGAAGACGAGTCAGAAGATGAAGACTCTGAAGATGAGTCAGAATCTCAGGGAGATTCTGATAGTGGATCTGATTCTGATCCAGATTTTGATGATGATCCAGAATCTGGTGGTGATTATACTTCTGGAAGGGAAAACTCTGAAGACATGGGGTCTGGAGAACAAGTTTCCAGAAGTAATTCTAAAGGAAATAATTCTGGACAAAGTCCATAAGCTAGCACAGTTCCGAGTTCTGGAGAAGCTTCAGAGCAAGATCAGAGGCCACAGAGAATCAGACGAATATCAAGTAGGTTTGAAGATTTTAGCATGTTGCATGATACTGAAGTAGATTCTGAAGGATAAATCGTTCAGTGTGCTATGCTAGTAGATTCTGAACCAATGGGTATTGAAGAAGCTCTCAAGAAGAAAGTATGGCTGAATGCCATGAAAGAAGAACTTGGGGCTATTGAAAGAAACAAGACTTGGAAGCTGACAGAACTTCCAAAAGGCAAGAAAGTCATCAACGTCAGATGGGTTTTCAAGCAGAAGCTAAAGCCAGATGGATCAATTGGAAAACACAAAGAGAGACTAGTGGCCAGAGGTTTTCTTCAGAAACCTGGACTAGATTACTTTGAGGTGTTTGTGCCTGTAGCTAGACACAAAACAATCAGACTGGTGATTGCTTTAGCTGCAAACAGAAATTGGCATTTGATACATCTGAATGTGAAGTCTGCATTTCTGAACAGTCCATTACAAGAAGAAGTTTATGTGTCACAACCTCCTGGATTTGTGAAAAAGAATCAGGAAGGGATGGTATACAGGTTAAATAAAGTTATGTATGGACTGAAGCAAGCGCCCAGAGCTTGGAATTTGAAGATTGATTCGTTTTTCAAGGAACAAGGGTTTCAGAAGTGTGAGATGGAGTATGGTGTTTATGTTCAGCACACTTCAGAAGGTAATATGATTCTGGTCTGTTTGTATGTTGATGACATATTACTCACAGGAAGTTATGAACAAGAAACAGTTGAGTTCAAGAAAGTTCTGATGAATGCGTTTGAGATGACAGATCTTGAAAAAATGAGTTTCTTTATAGGGATGGAATTTATATACTCTGAGAAAGGAATCATCTTACATCAGAAGAAGTATGAACTGAAGCTTCTGAAGAGATTTGAGCTAGCAAATTGTAAGGTTGCTATCACACCTGCTGATACGAATCAGAAGTTGGATTATGATTCTGATGGAGAGGATGTGGATGCTACAACCTTCAAACAGATGGTTGGTTCTCTGAGGTATTTGTGTAATACCAGACCTGATATTTGCTATGCAGTTGGAATGGTCAGCAGATATATGAGCAAACCAAAGTGGTCTCATTACCGAGCTGCTGTCAGGATTCTGAGGTATGTAAAAGGAACTCTGAAATATGGAGTGTTATTTCCTTCTGGAGGAAAGATCAAATAAGAACTTCTGAGTTATTCTGATTCTGATTGGTGTGGAGATAGAGTTGACAGAAGAAGTACTTTTGGGTACTTGTTCAAGTTTCTGGGAGGTTCAATTTCTTGGAGTTCCAAGAAACAGCATGTTGTGGCTTTGTCAACATGTGAAGCTGAATACATTGCAGGTGCTGTAGCTGCTTGTCAAGCAGTTTGGCTTCTGAATCTGCTGCATGATCTGAAGGTTGAAGTTGAGGAACCTCTGAAGCTGATGATTGATAATAAGTCTGCAATTAATCTTGCAAAGAATTCAGTGCTATATGGAAGAAGCAAGCACATTGAGACGAAGTATCACTTTCTCAGAAGTCAAGTGCAGAAAGGAGTGTTAGAAGTTTTGCACTGTAGCACTCAGAAGCAGCTAGCAGATGTTCTGACAAAGGCGATAAAAACAGACCAATTTCTTCGCTTGAGAGAAGAAATTGGTGTTGTTAACTTCTAATAAGTTACTAAATTACGGGATGATATTAGAGGGTAATTTAGTATTTGTCATTTGTTGGATATTCTCATTAGGCCCTATGTGACATTCTTATCTTTACTATTTTTGTGTATAAATAGGAGTACTAGGTTTACATTTTAATACAATCAATTTTCTTCAACCATTAGTGACAACTTTTAACATTTATTCATTTTCTCTCTTCTTCCTCAATTCCATCACCTTGCCCTAACACCTGTCACTAACAATTGAGGAAGGTATTCCAAGAAGCTTAACCACCTCCTTTACAAAATCTATGCCAATGACCTTGGGGTGAAAGGATGTTGCTGGAGCATTAGTCATCTAAATAATTCATGGTGTCCTTCGTGTGTTTTGATTGCTGTCTTGAGAATATCATCTAAGTGCGTGCGAATTTGATGGTAACCAACCTTAAGGTACTTTACTACGTGAAAATCGTCCAACAACTCCTCCCTGATAGAAATATAACATTTATCTAGTATATTTGTCTTGCTTAAGGCTCTTAATCAACATAAAACCTCTAACTCTCATCTTTCTTTTTAAAACCATAACCCATCTCATAGTACTGCATTGGAGTTGAAGTTGTTGAAGACGCTCATTGAACCTCAGTTCCAATTCGACTAGCATTTGCGAAGGACTATATATGTCTAAGGTCAACCACGATCTCAATTGTAACAGGTTTTGCCACTTTGTATTATTAGGGAAATCAATATAATCCTAGATCTTCTAAAAAATTCCAATGGAGGAATTCTTTGAAATAGAGCTCAAATGTAACGTTCAAATTAAACGAGAGAAGAGGAATTGATTGTAAATATGGATTACCCATTCATTCAGCCAAGGGATCCGAAGATTACAATATTACCCTCGTGTGAGTGTAATAATTATATTGGTACTAATGACAACTGTTATGGCTTCTAGAAGCAGACAAAATTCCTCAATACCATAATTTTAAAACTAGAAGGCAAAATAACTAATATATGAAAAATTGCACTTAGGAAGAATTTTGTCACATTGTAACCCCAACAGCCAGTTTGAAGAAACAAACATGGTTGGTTTGTTTGCTAAATATTTTTGAAATAGTTATATTAATACAGTAGTGAAACAACGCACTATCCTAAAGATAATATTGACAGAAGTAACTTGGTAACATACATAGGGTACATACATTACATAGCATTGAACATGTCATCTCTCTAAGAACTTGCTTATTAAAGTTTTTTGCAGATGGATTTCATCTTCTTCATCATTCTCCTCGGATTTGATATTTGCAAGTAAAGCACAACGGATAACCGAATTGACTTGTTTCCTTAAACTGGCATTGTCTACAAATATATTTGCCAGCATTTTCCTTAATTCTTCATTAGTTGTCCCGGTATCATCAGTAGTTGTATTTCTTTCCACAGCATCCACGACATTTTCTACATCTTGTGCCAAGAGCTGTGCCTGATCCCAAATATTTGCAGACACCATGTAAACAAAACTGTGAGTAGAGGTGACACCATATAGAGGCCTAAGGGGCAAACAGAAATATCGACCAAAAAATAAGTTGCTTAAAGTGCTTATATTCATACCTCTGCAAGCAAGAGACCAATCCGATTATCTGATGTTGCTAACAAATCCAAAGCGTCAGATGTTGAAGTGTCAACATTTAGTTTATCTTCCTCTTCAACAAGAAAATTTACACTGCACTCCTGTAGCCTCCTCTGAAGGATTGCACACTCATGCAACAACTTTGCATTAACATTATGTGAAAGCTGCATTCTTTCCTTTTCCTTCTGAAGAGTTTTCTGAAGTTTATTGGATTTTTAAACTTTTAGGACACCATAAAACAGAAAATATAATCCATTTTTCCTTTATTAGATAAAGATCGTGAATAGGAAATATCAATTTGTGTGGGGGAAAAATGCACATAAATAAGATTCTAGAAAAAATAATTATTAGTCAGATGGAATCAATCAAATTACTTTCCTGGTCTGGTTCAGAGAAATGTTTAAAATGGTTTAGTATTAGTTCATAGTTGTAACTTATAAGAACCAGAAAGGACCATACCTCCGCATCTACTTTTTCCTCCGTCAATTCGCTGAGCTGCTGTTTTAGTTCTAACTGAGAACTTCTGAGGGATTTCACTTCCTTTACTAGCAACTTCATATCTGTCTTTGATTTCATCTCAAACTCATCATGACGTTTCTGCAAGTGCTTAAGTTGTTCTCTAGCCATATCTAGCTCTTGCTGCAACATTTGCTTCTCCTGAATAATGGACGCTTTTGTTGATTCTGCTAGCAACCTTTCATCCTAAATCATTATAATTTTTCACTATACGCCACCAAAATGGAATGATAAGAGATATTGATTAAATTTAATAAGCACAACCAGACCTCTTCAAACTTCAATTTCGTTTCTTTCTCCAGGCACTTCCTCCGAAGTTCATCCATATCCCATTGCATTTGTGTAAACCTTTCCTTTTCAGTTAAGACAGCCTGCTGCATGTTTTCTCTGCAGTTCAGTCGAGTTGTTTCAAGTTCAACTTCCAAATCTTTGACCTACAAGTAAAATATAATATTTAAACATGCAAACATGTTTTGACATAACTAACATATCTGTGAACAGTTACTTCTATTAAAAAATTAGAAGAAGCCAACAAGTATATTTTTAATATTGAACACCCTCCACTCTTCCAAAATGAGATCCAATCAATTATTGGAACGTGAAAAATCTACACAAAAACTCAACTCAATGCTGAAAATGACAAATATCAGCATGCAAAAGGACTTGATGGTAATATTATCTAACAATTACCAAAAATCAAGTTATTGAATAACCCATTAATAGTGTGGCGCATCCTTGTACACATATATCACTTACCTTTTCCTCATTGAACTTAACATATGATAACATTTTCCTTTGTACAATCTCAAATTTTTACTTAATTTTCAAAACTAATTTTTTTTAATTTTTGTCAACTGTGGATAAAACAGGATACGAGCCTTAATAGTTGAATCCTCCTACATGTGATACTGTGAACTGTATGTAAAAACGGATAACAATAGTCATTTTCAACCCCACCTAATATCCTATAAGTATTTTAGATATCTCATTATATTCAAACAACAAAAAATTTGGCTAGTCTACTCATAGACTACACACTCTTCCAAAAGCCTGAGTTAGTTCTGTAAACAACAAACTTATTTGATGGACTTATAATATAAGAACAGCAGAGCAACCTAAGAACTTCACAAGTTCATGTTACTCATTTGCTTATCACTAGTTGAGTACTGACTCAGTAGTTTGATCCAAAATGAACCCACATCATGAAATATATTGTAGCCACTTAATGGCAGTTTGATGATTTTATCTAGAGCCCTGCCACGAATGAGTATGTGTATGATACATCATAAAGACTATAGGGTATTTACAATTATTAAATTTGACTTCCAGATGGCAATTTGTGGAATGTAAACATCAGGCACGTTTAAATCTATGGCAATAATTTGAGGTATAAAGAACTGAAGAATCACGTTTTGCCAAGGAAAAGCACCATACAGCTCATGCAGATTTATCTCAACTACATTTACCAAAACAATTAAAAGCAAGAGGCAAATGATAATCCGTATTTCAGAATTTAGTAATAATAAAAAAATCCTAAACATGTATTGATACCTTTGTCGCAAGATATTGTCTTGCAGCCACTTCTTGATTCAATCTTGCTATAAGATCTTCAACATCTGTTTTTGCCGTGGCCACTCTCTGCTGCTGTGTATTAAGAATTCTGTTCAACTTCTGTCGCTGATCCAATGGAAAAGTCACCAACAAATCTGAGTTTTCGGAGGGTACATTGTTACCGGGAAGTTCATGTGAAACACCCTGAAGCAAAGTGGAGACAACTGAACTCGACGTTCCTATATTCCTTACAGAACTTAAGTCACTCCCAATACTTTCTGTTGACAGTCTCTCAACATGAGCATTAGCTGGTGTAAAGTCAGCTCCATCTAGACGAAGAGCTATAGCATCACCAGAATTCTCAGCAACCTTGTCTGTACTACTACTATTATCCTCATAAATAAAGTCTTGGTTAGATGCAGCATGATCAACACTTGTTTCAGTTGGATTAATTGAGTCACCGTCCGATGTTAAATTGTCCACAGTATGCTCAGAACATTTATCTTTTCCATGCCCCAGTGTACCCAGCTCAGAAACCTCAGAAGTAGTATCGTCACCAGAAACAGATGAAGCTTTAAAAAAATCATGTGAACTATTATGGATAGTATGTGATAGTGCAGTACCAGCAGCAGTTTGTTCATCTGAAATATGCTGATCCATATCATGGAATGCTGAAAAATAACAGAAACATAAATACATTAAAATGCATGTAGAACATCACAAAAGACTGTTGTTTAAACTCTTTCAGACTTGTTATAAAAAAAAACTCTTTCAGACAAAGTGGAAATACTTCAAAATCTGACATAAAATGATGACTTGTTAAGTTGTTTATAAGGAAAATGCATACAAGCTCTAGCAGCAGCTTCTAACTCGAGAAATATTGCTGTTGGTGCACTTCTAGATACCGCAATATCTGATAACAATTTTTTCATCCAATTCTCTAACAAACTCCGCCGCTGCAAGTAACCGGTTTGTCAGTTTCAATCTTCATAGAAGTCATTTGAAAAACTAAAATACAAGAAAAAATAACAAGCACAAAACAATTATTGGAAGCAGCAAAAGATAAAGAGGTTATGTACCTCTTCCAAAAGGGCCTGGCTTTTAATTCTCAATATCTTTTTCGGTGGAGGCGAAGGCAGATATTTCATGGGAAATTCTTTTTTCAGCTGAAAAAAATGCAAAAATAAGTGAATAAACTTCAAAAAGAAAGAAAAAACACTTAGCTTGTGTTGGTTCCATTGAAGCACTCAGAATTGATTTTGACACGTTTGGTTGCTCTCGAGTATAATTAATCTGGCCACAAGAATTGATTCAAACTTGAAGCAAGAATTTGTAACTTTTTAGTTCAAATGTGATTTTGAAACTGAAATTCAGGGCTTGTTTAGATAAAATGGTTGGATTCAAAATCAATTTTCGTCACCAGAGAACCAAAAGCATACATTATAAAAAACAAAGTTGAAAAAATGAGTATGAAAATAACAGTTTAATAAACTCACTTGAGAAAACAAGTCAAGGAAATCACTAAATCTGCGCAATATAATTCTCGTAGTGGTGATAGCTTCCGGGGATCGAACACCAACTTGAACCCTAAAAAACTATAACCTAACATTTAGTTAAAACAAATTAAAAAAAAAAGTATAAAAAAATCAAAGAAAAAATATACATACCACAACAGGATCAGAAGAAGGTGATGATTGAGGAACAAGAGTCCATGAAGGAATTGTTGAAGAGAAAGTCCAAGAAGACAAAGCGTGCGGCCAAAGAGTGTTGCGACCGTCCCAATTAGGAGGCGGAGGACTCCAATCCATACACAACGGAAGCGGAGATGTTTCCGATACGGCGTCGTCGTCGAGGAGATCGTTGCTGCCATTGTCGTCGAGTTCTTCGGGATATGGATATGGATATGCGTCGTAGTGGAAATTGATGTCAACTAGAGGTGATAAATCGTATGCGTAGGGATGCATTTTCACTTTGCTCTCACTTTGTGTCTTCTTTCTTCTTCAGTTGTTTTCATATAAATGATTTATTTTATTGTTTTTTTTTTTTTTACAAGAAGGACTCTTAAGGTAAATATCATGCTTGGGTAGTGCATTTGCACATCGATTCGTCTCTTATAAATGTGTTTTGATATTTACTGTAATACGGTGGAAAAACTGATTTGGTTTTTCATTTTATCGCAAATGTTGTGAATAGTAAGAATTGTCATCGACTTTTCTTTTATCCAATAAGGAAATGGTGAAAAAAACAGGAAAAACTTTTTTCGATTTTGAGTTTGGGGAATAGGTTATGAAAAGGGAAGGTGTTAGGACTATTTTCATTCGTAGTTATCTACGAGCTTTTAATCGCTAGCTCACTTTGTTTTGAAATTTGCTTTGTATCGTGTGTTTGAAAATATTTTGAAAAGTTTGTCAATGTAAGGCGAACTTTGTAATGACTCTTGTATCGTTAAGAGTGTATACAAAGTGTTTTCTTTTGAAAATATTTCTGAAGAGTGTTTGTGAAAAATGTTATTGTTTTGAAATGTTTGTGAGCAAGCAATTAACAGCGGTCTACCTACTCAAGGTCTTTCTTGTACTTCCCTTCTCCTTTAGATAGTGATGTCCTACCATTAGTTAGTAGGAAGCCCTGTTGTTGGATGTGAAGGGACAGGCGTGAGTCATCAAGCAGTCATCGAAGGCAACTGATAAGGACGCTTTAGCAATTTTTCGTTAAGGGACTAGATCATTTACCGAAGGCAACGTCGAAAGGGTCGTCGAGGGACTATGATCTTTATTTTTGAGGGATTTTGATAAAGCGTCCCCACGTTCGAGGGACATGACTGTTTTTCGAAAGGCAACAAGGAAAGTTACCCTAGAGGTGCGAGTGTGAGAGTGATTTATTTTCAATTATGTTTATCTTTGAAATTAGGATTAACTATCGTTTATTTTTAGTCTTTCCATACAACCCTAGTTACTAAGCAATAATCATAAAAATGATGAAAATCAGTAAAGTGCATAAAATAAATGCGTAAAGGTAAACCCTATATTATTACATCGCTTCGGGAGAGGTACATAAGTAATAAAAATGCGGAAAAGTAAACCCTAATTACTATTACAAACCGAAAAACAGTTACAATAATAATGAAAAATGCGAAAAGAATAAACTACGCAAAGAGAATGTAAGAATAAAAACAAACAATGTTTTTTTCAGAGATTTTGAATAAACCTGAAAAGTCTAATTAATTTTAATTAAAAAAATAAAGTTGATTAATTAAATTAAAAACCTAAAAAATATAATTTGATTAATTAAAAAAAAAACCTAAAAAACCTAACTTGATTAGGGTTGATGAAAAAAAGGTTTTGAAAAAATAATAGGTTTGTAAAAGGTTTTTTTTGTGAAATTAAAGGAAAAGGAGAGAAAAGAGTAAGAAGAATAAAAAACCACAGAATTGTCAGGGGTGGATGTTGAACACACGCCTTTAGCACTCCAGCCCAACCGCTCCACCACTGCACCAAGTGCGCGCTTGTGTTAAGGAATGAGAATCAACACGTTTTATAATCTACAAAACATGAAAATTATGGGGGGAAAATAACTCAAAATGCCAAAAGCAGGGATCGAACCCATGCCCTGAGACAGTAATGACTTAGCGCACGTTTTAACCATTGGGGTTGTGATATATCCAGTATTTAAAACACAAACAATTAATTAAGTAGTAAAAACAATGCACTGGACCGGAGAGGCGTCGGAGCCCTAGCTCTGGTCGTCTTCTCTGGTGAGTATATTTCTTGTTCCTGCAAAACAATAAGCATTAGAGATACAAGGGGATCCTACCCCCCTAAATCGAGGTCTGCAAGTTCAATGGAATCATTATTTTGGACTGAATTGTAATGGTTTGTGAGATACGATCAAAACAACATGGATCGGTTTATGTATGACAACTCGTGATTCTGATAGCATGGAGGTCATGCGATCTACTTTTCCTGCACTAACATACCTCAGAAACACATTAATACAGTTAGTTTGCAATGAAACATGAAGGAAATAAAAATATGAATTTTCAAAAAAATATGAAACGAAGATGCATGCGTGCAAGTTTTGAGGGCTTTGGATCATCAGATTTGATCCATTATTACTCTGTAGGATTATTGAAAGTGAATGAGCAGATTTGTTTGCCTTGAAAACGACTGCAATAAGGGTTTGCAAGTTGTCCTAACTTGAATATTTTTTGTGCTTTTTGGAAGATGATTTTGCTGCAAGGTTTTTTCATCCAAGGGTTTGTCTGAATGCATGCAATATATAGAAGAGAATTAGGTCAAGATATAGTGGGCTTGGGACTTGTGCAAGAAGTTTGATCTTATTTCCTTTTATTTTGACTTTTAAAATGATAAAAATAAAAAATAAATATAATAAATCAAGAGGGGGTTTATGAACGAGACTTGAGATGCATTATTAAGTGTATAACACGTTTGGACCTTGAATGATAAGCCCAATAGCCCAAAATTCTAAGTTTGGTCACTTTTGATTTCATGCATTTTCTCAAAATTTCCCAACTTGCATCAATTACAACTCTCTCAATTTTCATCATTTGATGGTGAACTTTGACTTTTTGGAAAGCTAAAGATGTCCTCTATAATATATATTTTTATCATTTTTACATTTGAAGATTTTATCTTGATGTAAGTTGCCTTGACAAAAAGTGTCTCTTTGTTGACTTTTAAAATGACCTATAATGTATTGGCCTATATCTCTCAAATGAAGCATTTTTTGGACTTGAGCTTAGAGATACAAAGTTGTAGAGAATTAAATTTCCTTCAAAATTAGCTTTGGTTGAGGAAAATCTGATGAAGCATGTGAAAGTTATGCTTGGTCAAAGTTCAGTTGACTTCTCCATGAGAAAACCCTAATTTGGCAACTTTTGACCTTTGATGATTTGAGAGTTTTCTTGATGAATCATGATCAACCCTTGATCAAATTATGAATATGACACCAAAACCTTGATGTTGACCAAAACATCTTGAGGTTTGACTATATGTTGACCATAAATGACTTTTTGTCCAATATCGTTGATTTTCAATCATCTGAGCCACTGACTGAGCAAACTTGTGATGCAAGGCATGAAACTTGGTATGAGTATTCTTGGAGACATATAAGAAAGCATAAAATCTACTTGAGGCTTTAGAAACCCAAACTTCCTTGAAAAGGTGAAACCCTAGTTATAAGTCCATTGCTTAAGAGGAGAATTTGTCTGATCAATTCTTGAGCATTTGAGAACCCTAGGAGAATGTCTTGAGATAAATGGGAGGGAAAATGTTGGTGTACAATAGCTTCCCCTGTTCAATCTTATTAAACTTTAAGAGTTAGATTGGCATATCCGCCATTCGTGATCTTAAGGTGGAAGAGGATTGAACACTTAAGTGCCCAGAAATTTGCACTCGCATGTGCATGAAGTAACGTTGTTGGTTGATAATATTTCTTGAATGGGCTTAAAGATGCCATTCAGAAAGATGAAGGAATATCGTCGAAGATGGGCTTATAGATGCCATCAAAGTGATTGTCTATAGGAATATCAGGATGAGTATACGCTTGAATGTATCTGAAGAATTTTTTCCAGAATGAACCTCTAGGGAAGGTGTTTAAGTAGCTGCTTGTCAGATTTAGTCTTCGAGGGAAATGTTTGTCATGTAGATAATCGTCGTGACCTGCTTCGAGAATTGATCCATAATCTTATCTTTTGTTGGTAAACCTATTCTGCTTCGGGAATTTATACCACTCGCTCGTGTCGATAGTTTCCCCGTCCTATTTCGGGAGTTAATATTTTCCTGGTCATGTAGATAGTTGCCCTGTCCTGTTTCGGGAATTAATCTTGGACCTGCTTTCTGTTGGCGAACTCGTCCTGTTTCTAGAATTAGTACCGCCTGGTTGTATTGATAGTTTCCCCGTCCTGTTTTGGGAATTAATCTTCGGCTTGGTCATATAGATTGTTGCCCCGTCTTGTTTCGGGAATTAATCTACGACTTGTTTGAGAATTGTTGATGATATTTGTCTGTTTGTGAACTTTTCATGAAAAGACAAAGTTAGTCTTTATGAAATGTCATGATATATGTAATTCATTGCGTAATGATGTTCTCAAAGTAAATGAGAGTGTGCTATATGCGTTTCGTATGCATATGTTATGATATTTGTAAATGATGTATGGATGTAAGATGTTGTTGAAGCGTATTGGTAGCTTCGTGTAACATCCTTGTCTGGGGAAAATAAATCCCTGACCGTTGTTGGGGATAAGGAAAATGAATCTTCCATCTTGTTTAGAATGTCTCCGCTAGGGATTTCTGTTGTCTATTTGAGGATACTCCGTTGGGAATGTTTGACTTCTGCTTGGGGAGAAGAGTTCAGGAACATTGGTCATTCGACGCTCTACTGGGGATTTAGTTCTTATATACCCTGAATGGGGATAAAAGAGATGGATAACCTTCGGAGGTGTTGTCTGACCGAGTTTCTGATATCGTAGCAACTCTTCTAGGGAGGACAAAGTTTAATGATATTTATCCCAGTTTCAGACTCCGTAGCAACTCTTTTTGGATAGCAACCTAGACTACACTTTATTGTATAAGAGAATTTTTTCGGGGATTTGCAGTAATCAGAGAAATGAACTCTGCTTGGGAAATTAAATTTCGTTGGGGAAATAAACCCTGCTGGAGCAGTGAACCTTGCTGGGTAAGAGAATTTTCCATGGGATTTTATAGTGTTGGAGAAATAAACTCAGCTGGAGAATTAAATTCATGTGAACTGTGTTGAGGACTGTGATCGGTGGATCTGGAACTGACTGTTTTAAAGCTGGTTCGCGAAATGTCGCGGTAAGCAAGAGTCGCCACCGTCTTTTATTTTCTCCGATAGGAAAGGACAAAAGCACAGAAAAATTCCTTAAAAGAGATTGCTCTCGGTTCGGGAGGTAGGTTATAGAAAGGGAAGGTGTTAGCACCCTTTC